GACAAGAAGCAGGGGGGGTTGGGGTTCTGAGGGGAGCAGTCAGGGGGTGGGAAGTGGGAGGGAGTGGATAGGGCGGGGCTTCCCCCCCCACAGTGTCCTCTTTCTTGTTTGTGGAAATATGGTAACCCTAGCTGTAGAAGTACATAAAAAAATTACAGTGCTGCCTTGTGAGTTAGCAAATGAATTTAAGCTACCACCTGATTTCATGGGGAGGGTTTAAGACTGAGAGGCTGATTTTCCTCTAATTTGTTTTACACCAGAGTAACTCCATTGACTTCAAGGAGGTGCCTTCTGATTTACCACAGCAAAAGTGAGAGAAGAATCAAGCCTTTTGGGGATGTACCTGTTCATGGTCCCCAAAGATCTCAGCCAGGCAAGGGGAGGGATAGCTCAGTGTGGTTTGAGCATTGGCCTACTAAACCCAGGGTTGGTGTGTTCAATCCTTGAGGGGGCCATTTAGGGAACTGGGGTAATAATCTGTTTGGGGAGTGGTCCTCTTTTGAGCAGGAGGTTGGACTAGATGACTTCCTGAGGTCCCTTCCAACCCTGATATTCTATGAAAGCAAGGACACCTGGTGTTTCAAATGGAAACAGACAAGCAGGAAAAATATATTTAAAAAAATGATTTAAACAGTGCTTCCATTTTACCAAAAAAGATGTAAAAAGGCCAAAACATTATTATTTTTTTTTTTGCTTTGGTTTCACCTTTAAGACTTCAGTTTAAAGAGGCATCAGTTGAACTGAACAATCATTCTACTAATCGCCTGTCATGTGAATGTTAGGTTTGTACGTCTTGAGAGTAAATTAGAATGGATACTTCATGTTAGGGTATTTAAGAGGATTGCACCTTCTTGAGAGATCATTTGACTTGAAGACCTCTAGTATCATTCATGACACCATTATATCAGCATATATATTCTGTATCATAATTGATTATAATAATCATAGTGACTGTTTGCTGACTGTGGGCTTGACATTGTGCAAACATACAGTAAGTGTAAGTACACTTCCTGCCTCCAGGAACTTACAATATAAATTACTAATCATTTTACTGAGCTTCTAGAAATGGACGTGAATCCTCCGCTTCTAACAGGAGAGGCCAGGACTCTGGCCATTGAAACACAGTGGGGCAGATCTTCAAGCTGGGGCAAATGCAAGGCAGTGGCGCTGCCTTGCTTTACGCCAGCCGAGAATCTGACCCAATGTGGAAAATTAACATTCCGCAAGGTCTCAGGGACACAACCACTTTCTGTTTGGCTGCATCCTTCCATGTGAACACATATCACTCCGGCAGGCTCTTCTTGATGCTCCTTACCTTTGAAAAGACTGCTCCGGGCATGACCAGAAATGGGCAGTTTTAATCTGCTCTACGGACTCTCATGTTAGATTTCTCTGTCGAGGAAATGGAACGGCAGCTACCTAATGAATGCACTTCCAGGAGCCGCAAAGACAGAACTTCCGTGTAGGTGGCTACTGAGACTGTTCGTACAGTCTTAGGTCAGCATGGGGCTCGGAGGGCAGTCAGGGAATGGCTGAGTTGCAGTGCTTACCTGGCGGCGAGACTCTGTCCCTGTACGTAGGCGTGTAGGGGCTCAGAGTGAGCAGCAAGCCATACATACAAAAGGAGAACATCCCAGCCAGAAACATGTAAAAAATGAGGTAAAAGAATAAGATCAAGCCTGCAAGACACAGAGGACATGTCGCTGTTAGCACAGTTGCAGCACTTCCACCCTCACAAAAGACAGGCCCGATCACCCTTCTTTGCATATGGAATTTGCTAACTCTGACGGGCGTCTTTAATCAGAGAAGCGACTTTCCCCAATCCAAACACCCTCAAACTTTGGGAAAGTTTGGATCAGCCTGTACTTCCCAGCCAGCCACTATCTGCAAGTGGCCCACACAAACCACAAATCTGAATCCTTCTGGGTGCAGGGAAAGTTCAGATTCTGAGCATTAGCCACAATTCATGGCCTGGCCCATTACAGTCAGAGATGGGTCTAAACAGGATCTAAGTATCCACATGCCTAAACTGGATCAAACTGAACCCAGATCCCACCCACAGCAGCTTAAGCCCCTCTCTGAATTACAACACTGAGGTTCTAGACAAGAGGCAATGAATAGCCAGCCTCTAACACATTTTGAATTCCTTAGGAAAACTCCACAGATAGGAAAATTGCCTCCCTATCCATCCCCACAAATCCCACCATCAGCTGTTCGACAGCAGGAACCGAATGGCCAGGGAACAACGCAAATAACATAGACTAGAAATACAGCTGCTCCGAACTACGCTTTACATTTGGCTATTTCACAAGCCCAGTGTCCAGAGAACAGTTGTTATTGGGTTTTTTTCCAGGACCAGACTGACGGTTGGGGTTGTCTTGGGAGAATAAAGCCTATGAATAAAAACCAGCACTTCAGAAAATAAAGTGAAACCATAACACAACCATTTCCCAGGAGAGCCGTGATTCTGTTTGTAGAACAAGCCGTGAGAACACAGATGTGCACTTTCACCTCGCATTCTCTAGGTGTTTATGTTTGGTGGGATTGTTAGTGATGGGAACTAAATGGAAAGGAAAATTCAACGGAGGACTGAACAGGGGCTCAGCAGGGGGGCTACAGTGCAGGGGGGCTACAGGGGAGCTGAGATTGGGGGAATCTCTGGACCTCTGGAATCCAGGGCCCTCCTGGAGGAAGCTATGCTTAAGCTCTGGGTTCTGGAACAGAGAGCACGCTCCAGCCATGGGGGAGACCTGCACAGAATTCCTGGCTTTCTTTCTGGGAGTACTGCAGAGACAAAGAATTAACCCCTGGAGAGGACAGAGCCATTCAACAGCCACCGTAGAAGGTCCTCTGAGCCGGAGAGGAGTAAAATCACAGAAATCCTGGGTGGGTGGGCCAGGAAGCTGCAGGGGGGGCGGGGGCGGGAGGGACAGATGTCTGTGTGGTAGCTTCCACCCTACTGCGTGGCTGCTGAGAGAGGGGCTGATGGGATCTGCGTCATCAGGCAGGAGGGGGCCCAGTGACTAACCAGTTACCTCATGATGTCCCCCACAAGCTCTCAGCACAGCCACGCTGGTAGGGAGCCATGGTGCCTTCTCATGGCCTCTTCTCCAAAGGGGGGCAATGACCCAGGAACACCACAGGCCAGATTCTGCTCTTGGTTACACGGGGTGAATCCAGTCACTCCACTAGGGTGACCAGATCACAACACTAAAATATTGAGACACACTGGGGTGCCGCCAGCCCCATCCACAGTCCATCCCTGCTCCTCCCAGACTCTACCCCCTCTCTGTCCCAGGTCCTGCCCCCTCCCCGCTCAGCCCCCCCACTGTGCCCTTCCTCATCCCCCAGCCCCCTGCTGGCTTGCTGCATCCCTTCTCACCCCCCCACCTCTCACTCACCTCTTCACCCTCCCCACCCGCCACTAACCCCTATGGCGCTGACTTCCCCTCTGCCGGGTGGGTGCTCACCCACCTCCGGCTCTTCCCGCCCAAGCATCCGCCCTCACTCCGCCCCCATTCCATCCCCTCCCCCCAAGTCCCCGCCCTTGCCCTGACTCTTCTCCACCTCCTCCCCTGAGCACGCCGCGTCCCCGCTCCTCCCTCCTCCCTCCTGGAAAGCGCTAAGCGCTGCCAAAGAGCTGTTAGGTGGCGGGAAGCGCTGGGGGGGGGGGAAGGAGCGGGGACACGGCGCGCTGTGGGGAGGGGAAGAAAAGGAGGTGAAGAGGGAGGAGCTTGGCTGCAATTTTTCCCTCAGCGCCTCCCTCCCGCTCGCCTCCTTACCTGAATATCAGGACAAATGGCGTCCCGATCGTACATTGATCGGAATGCGGGACAAGGGGTTAAATATCGGGACAGTCCCGATTTTATGAGGATATCTGGTCACCACCATCAATGGTGGACTCCTGTGAGCCTGATTCTCCTCCCAGTTACCTGGCTGCACACCCAGGCGACTGCACTGACATCAGTGGAGTGCGTCAGAGCTGAAGCCAAGTGACTGACACCCCACCCCATCCCCCGCAGGCTCTTCCACCTGAGGGGATGAGTGGATGGTTTTAGGCCTACGCTCCCAGTTTATCTTGCTGTCCTAACCCTGCCTGGTGTGTCTGATCATGCAGCCACTGTAATTCCCACGCCGACTCTGCCCATTTGGATCATAACACTGCTAGGTTTTTATTATTTTAATGATGATGATTATTATTCAGTTTTGCTTTGGGAAACGCTGTGCAGACTAGTATCACAGAACTAGCCTGGACTCTTGCAACTCCTCGCCGTAACGCACAACAGCCAGCAAACCATCCAGTGCTACCTGCCGTTCAGGAACGAGGAATGCTTATAAAAAAAAAAGGACTCTTTGAAGATCGGCTCATCTGCCTTCATCATCATGTACCCACTGGGAAGCCGTGCTGGACCTGGAATACTCCCTTCCTTTCAGCTGGTCGTTATGCACGCTATGAAAGTTTAGGCCGATTCCTCGTTTAGCCTTCATTATGAGGCACCTTCATTTTAAAAGTGTGATGCCTTGTTAGGTGCTCACATGCCCTGCTCCGGAAAAACCTATTCAGCCTGCTTGTGTGAGCAGAAAGGTTGTACAGCACTGGGAGGCTGAGGACCAAATAAATGTATTGGTCTAGAAAAGAAATACGTGAATGTCAAGAATAGTTTAAGCATGGTTGGGTTCTAGAACCATTGTTATTAAGATGTTTGGATAATTTACTACATATTCAACCCCTCGAGTGCATTCATGATGGGAAGAGGAGGCGAATCCAGCATTATTAAATAAAGGTTTTGACCGGAGGAGCCAGCACCACTGCTTTGAAAATTTTCAGAAAGTGAGTGATGCTTCAAGACTCACTGGAGCTTTGAGTTAATTCACACTGAGACACAGTAAGAACTTGCAGCTTCAGTCAATGCATCCGTCCTGACTGGGTATCTACACAGAATGACTCAACCCACCTATAAGCCCTGGCCCAGCACACATGGGACCTGGGTAAAATCATCTCTAGATGCTTTGAAGACTGTCTCTCCTGGACTTCAGTTAGTCCACAGTCTGGATGTGGAACACACAAGAGATTTTTGCTTGATTTTATATCTGCCACAGGAACGACAAAACCAGGCTCCATGCATGGCCAGAACAACACATGTATTATGTGATAACACTGTAATGCCACCCAAATACCCTGAGAGAACCTGCTTCAATACGGAAATAAAACTCCCTCCAAACGCACACCCCTAACGATCACCTACCACCCCACACTAGAACCCATATGAGGTATCATTAAACAACCACCACCCATACTTGATGGAGACCACATCCTGAAAGAAATATTTCCTGAACCCCCTCTTTTGGCCTTCAAACAACCCCCCAGCCTCTCCAAGCTCATCATCAGATGCAAGTTCCCCTCAGACCAGGACACAACAACTCAAAGCAGCACCAGACCCTGCCCGAACAACAGATGCAAAATCTGCAGACATATCTCCACTGTTACAATAATCAACACCCGCCTCCTCTCCACCTCCATCTCCTCCCCTGAGCGTGACATGTGGCCGCTTTTCCTCCCTTGCTCCCAGCGCTTGCCGGCCGCAAAACAGCTGTTTCACGCGGCAAGCCTGGGAGGGAGGGGGGAGGAGGGAGAGCGCGGCATGCTCAGGGGAGGAGGCAGGGCCGGGGTGGGGATTTGGGGAGGGGTCCAATAGGGGCAGGGAGGGGGCAGAGTTGGGGCGGGGACTTTGGGGAAGGGGTTGGAATGGGGGTGGGACAGGGGCAGGACAGGGGTGGAGTCAGGGCGGGGCCAGGAGGGCGCGAGCACCCACTGGTGCCATGAGAAGTTGGCGCCTGTGCCCCCAGGACTAAAGAGGTGTTAACGGGCCCCTTCACCTTGATTGGTCCCTTGAAATATGTGTTAACTACATATGCTAAACAATCTGTTCCACATTGTATTTAGCTGTGACACCTCCCAGAGCTCTGTGTAAACTTGAAAGCTTGTCTCTCTCACCAACAGAAGTGGGCCCATAAAAGATATTACCTTATCCACCTTGTCTCTCTAATATCCTGGGACTGACAGGGCCAAAGAAACAATATAATGATGATCATTGACTAACCACAAAAGCAACGAAGAGTCTGGTGGCACCTTAAAGACTAACAGATTTATGCCCAAATAAATCTGTTAGTCTTTAAGGTGCCACTAGACTCCTTGTTGTTTTTGTGGATACAGACTAACATAGCTACCCCTGTGATACTTGACTAACCACAGACTCTTTGGCACTCCGCGCATTGGCTGGGTAGCGTTTGCAGCTTCTGTAAATCACTCCCTGTTTTCTCTTGCTTCATCTGATTTCCCACAACAGGTCTCTTGGCTTATATGAAGCCACTCACTGTGGACTTTGCAGGAGACGCTGAAAACTTGGCAGAAGCAAACAAGTTGCAAGACTTGTTGGCTCATTACCGTTGCCAAATGCTCAGTGCCGCCAAAATGTCTGTCCTTTGCTTGTTTGAATGCGGTGCCGGGCATCACATTGTCTGGGCTCGTTTTCCTACTTTGGAAATTGACTAAGAACATGATTGTCCGTATTCTGCTGGCATAAAGCCAGAGTTACCTGCAGTGCAAAAGTGATTACTCCAGTGCATAAGTGCTCATAACTTGAGATTCAGGCACAACCATTTTCATGCTCGTGAATGAGTTGTTTAAGTCTAGGAAAACAGCACCACAAACGTCCCTCGCAATCCGAGTGCTGTAACGATTGAACATAGGAACGCAGCTGCAGTACTTATGGGACTGGATGAGTGGCAGGCGTTCTCAGCCTACCACCCTCCAGTGCCTGTTTATAGCCAGTTGCACATGGTTTGCCCAGAGTATAAGTTTTAAAGGCCATGGAAAAGGCTCTCAAAACAAAATCCTAGCTTTTGAGCCAGACCCTGCTTCCCACACCCATGTGAGGGATGTCACTGATTTATTTAGCTCCTCCAAAGCACTAAACGCGAAGGGATGGGCAGAAGAGTGTCGATCAGGTCTTGACTTTGCATCTCACTGGCTTCGCTGCTAGTATCTGACCCTCGGTGTGTAATTCTGATTCACTCTGGTTGGGTTTGAGCCCAGGGCAGGAAGCGGCTTTGGGAGAGTAGAGACTTCGGGAGTCTCCTCTGGCTTCCATCAGTTAAACATCGGGGAAATGCCACCAAAGCCAAAGGAGCTGCTCTTCTTTTATGCTCCTGTAAATGTGAGGCGAATTGGGTCTGGTCTCTCAATGGCAATACACCTACCAAAGGACTCCACAGTCTGCATATTGATCTAATCTAATCCAGGGTCACCCTTCTCTGGGACATCTGGGCACCATTTTACATGCTAAGCCACAAAGACGCACACGGAGTTGATCCAGTCATTCGTGGGAATGACATGCTCATCAGAAAAGCCCTACGCGTCTCCTTATTTCACCTAAATGGCGTGCTCTGTCACTGTGAACAGAATGTGAAAATGGCCAGTTAGACCCGTCACTGGCCAGTGGTGCACTTACAAACCCAAGTAGTGCTCAACCATGATCAGGGTGAGTGCCATCTAAGTGTGCAGCCCCCCCAGAGGGAAGGGGAGGAAGGGGCAGTGTTCTTAAACCAGAATGAAGCTACATGGAAGTGCAACAAACATCACCAAAATGCAGCCTGGTTTAAATGTTTTCCCTTGGTGACTTCAGTGCTTATGAGAGATGCTGGGTTGGCCTCCAGGAGCACATCCCTGCCCCCATCAGCCGTGATCTGGAGAGGCTAGCTCCAGAGAGAATGGAGCTCCGGTTTAAAGACATGGTTGCCTAATACAGTGCAATGGCTCTCCCAGTTACCAGGGAATCCATTATATGAATAATGGATTAAAAATTCATTCCCATCCCCTCGCCGATGCCACTGGAGATTTATTTCTTGTCTAATTCTTTGTGGTTTTAATGCTAGTGTGGAAAATTGCTATTAAAACACAAAGGTCCAACTCTGGTGTCCAGGACCCGTTTAACTGACCACAGCGATTGGCCTTAAAGCTGCACCAAGCTGATTGTGTTGGTCTCAATTTGCCAGATGAAAGGAAGGGAGTATGAGGCATGTGCAGGGCCAAATCCTGCTTCAGTTACACCAGTGCAACTCATCCGCACCTGATTAGGATCTCATTTATGCTGTCTTTTACACCAGTGTAACTCCATTAACTGGCGTTACACTTGACTTATACGAGTGTACGCTCAGAAGGAGACCCATTGACATCCACGGGGATGCACGGATATTGCGGAGCAGATCTTTGGTTCACTCTAAGTAAAATCACTCAGCCTCGGACATCTCCTGCAGTACGTGCTCTCTGTTATGAGTCCTAGATTTACCTTAGCCCTACTGTACGGTCACCAAGCCTGCAGATTTGTCACAGGATTTTTTATCAAAAATCATGGAACAGTCATGGGAAATTTACTAAAAGTGCTGAGTTAGGGGGAATTGGTGTGTAAGTCCTGGGTATGAAAATGCAGATATCCCTCTTTAACAATAATATACAGAAATCCTTCTTCCACTGCCTCCTTCTCCTTGCCCTGCCAGGGGGCCCCCGACCATCTGTAGCAGCACCCTCTGTTCCGCCACTGCAAAAATCCCAGCCTGGTGAGGAGGGCTTGCAGTGCATCTCAATCACATTTTGCCCAGCCACCCTGCACCCATGGTGACAAAGGGCACCCAGGCTAAACCCAAGTGGCACTGCAACCCCAGGCACCAGGCTGCAACACCCAGTGGAGAGCAGCCCCATGTGATAGGAGCCGCCATTGAGGGATGAGTCGGTGCAGGGTGGGTCTGCTCTCCAACTCCCCTCCCACTGGAGGTCTCCCCTCTGCACCAGGCCTGCAATCCACCTAGAACCGTCCTGCCACCCACTGGCGGGTCACGCCCCACTGTTTGGGAAACTCTGCTTTATTAAAAGCCCAGACACAAAGAAAAGTCACGGAACCAACAGAAAAATCACAGTATCTCTGATCTTTTTACCACCATAGCAAACGTGCAGCCATAATGTCAGCATAAGATTTCTGGCACAGGAGAAAAAACAGGGGTAGCTTCCCCATGGCTGTATGTTCTATGGGCACATTCACTGCTAGCATTTTATAGTTCTTTACTGAGCTACCTGTTAGATATATGAGTATGGGTCCTTTAAAAGGTCTAGGATTTAGATTACATGTGCTCTGCTGCGCCATAGCAGGGAAATTCACAGACAAGTGAAGAAAAAAAGAAAGACCGAGAGAAAGAAATTCAGCCATTTAACCTACCCCAGCTCTGAGCTGTTCTTCCCATACATTCTTTCTTCTCTGAATTCCACAGGAAAGTTTTCATTTCTTGAATTACATCTGCCAAAGTTTTCTTCCCCATCTTTTCCTTGTGCTTTTCCTGCTCGTCTTCAGAGTGTTGTGCTTTCTCTTCATCCTTATTTTCCTGGAATAGTTACAGAATGCAACCCCCCCCAAAAAAATGAGTATCTCATTGGCCAAAAATAAACGCAAGACTACTTAATATCTGGAGATGTTTCAAATTTCCATTTCCTATCCCCATCATCCCGCCTGTGTTACGGAGAGGCCCTTTTTTGGCTGTAGTGGTTTATAATCATTTAGATCCCAGTATTCATTTTCCCAGGACAAATATGGCTCTGCAGTCAGACTGGACACGAGCCTCTCATCCTATTCTCCCCTTTGTTCACAGTGAGTCTTCATTTCTAACCCATGGGAACACGATGAAAAGAAACACTATTCCTACACCTCTCATATGCACCTCTGAGGTGAGTACAGCCTTTCCCGTGTTGTGATACGCATCATGAGGTGGTGCTTTTAAACAAAGTCTTCCAACTTCTTTTTCTTAGCATGCTTCTTTTTTGAAACATAGGGTGTTTTTTTGGTTGGCCATCTCCCAGTATCAAAAGAAAGGGAAGGGGTCAATGAGAAATCAGGAGCCTGAGATTGACAGTCCTCAGGGGCAATGAGTGGAGGCCAACGCTCCAGGTCAACCTGATTGACAGGGCAGGCAGATTAATGAGGGAGTCAGGAGGCCGGGGGTCCTGTCCTCCATGTGGCAGCTGCCTGGGCCAGAGCTAAGGAGATCTGGGGAGCAGGGCTGCACCGGCCAGAGCCAGAGGGGCCGCCCAGGGAGCTAGAGGCAGAGCAGCAGCAGCGCTGAGGCAAAGTGGAGCTGGGTCTGGAGCAGTCCAGAGCCGGGTGCGGTGAGCAGCTGGGGAGAGCAAGGGGGGACCCTGGACAGCAGGCCTACTGCAGGGAGATGCAACCAGGCAAGCGGCCTTGCGGGCCAGACTTGGTGGGGCGATCATAACCCTGACGGCGGGGCTGATGCTGGGAAGAAGGGTCCTGCCACCTAGAGCCTGAAGGCGTGTGGCCACCGCCAGAGCAAGTGTCCAACCCGCAGCATTCCTGCAGCACAGCCAGGGCCTGGGAAGGTGGCCTGGGACGTGTGAGGAACAGGCTGTGAACTGCCCTGACATTCTGGAGACGGCTGTTTCCCCGAGTGGGGTTATGTGTGTTCCTTTAACCTTTCCCATTTTTTCCTTGTTTTTTTAATTGGTTGCTCTTTAATAAATTATATTTGCCTTGAACTGTATGTAACGATCAGTGGATCAGGGAAGCATCCAGAGTGGAGAGAGCACCCCGGAATGGGGACACCCTAGCCCCTGTCCTAAGTGACCACGACAGAGTGGGGGGGTCGAGCCCCCCTGGAATCCTGGGCCCAGCCTTGTCAGGGTTATACAGGAGAGAGGAAGGGAAGGTCAAGCAGGTCTCTGCGTAAAAGGAGTTGGATTATTTCGCTAGCCAATTCCACTGGGGTACTGTATAAGCCAGGAAAGTTCCCCACAATAGTGGGACCCTTCCCCCACTTACACTAGATTGAAGAGCCCATTATTCAACATTTGTTCCTCATGTAGCTATTTACAGACTGTAATCAAGTCACCCCATAATCTTCTCTTTGTTAAGCTAAATTGAGCTCTATGAGTCTATCACTTTGGGTACATCTACATTGCAATAAAAACCCGCGGCACCAAGTCTCAGAGCCCGGGTCAATTGACTTGAGCTCGTAGGTCTCGGGCTCTAAGGCTAAAAATTGCAGTGTACATGTTTGGGCTTGGGCTGAAGTTGGGCTCTGAGACCCTCCCCATCATGGGGATTCAGAGCCCAGGTTCCAGTCCAAGCCCAAATGTCTACACTGCACAGTCGGGGTCAGCTATTGGCCTTTTACTGCAGTGTAGACCTACCCTATAAGGCATGTTTTTCTAATCCTTTAATTGTTCTTTTGGCTCTTGTCTGAACCCTCTCCAAATTTATCAACATCTATCTTGAATTGGAGGTACCAGGTTAGAACTGGACACAGGATTCCAGCAGCAGTCACACCAAATACAGAGGTAAAATAACCTCTCTGCTCCTACTTGAGAGCCCCTGTTTATGTAACCCAGGATCACATTAGCTCTTTTGGTGGCTGTGTCACATGGGGAGCTCATGTTCAGCTGATTATCCACCACAACCCCCACATCTTTTTCAGAGGCCCTGCTTCCCATGAGACAGTCCCCCATCCTGTAATTATGGCCTACATTCTTGGTTCCTTGATGTATACATTTGTCATGACCCTGCGACTATAGAGTTCTCAGTTGACTAGTGCAAGACAGACCATGAAACCTGAAGTTACATCAGGGAGGGCTTCCCTGGGCCTGATTGGAGGAGCACTGTGAATTCTGATTGGTCAGGCTTCCTATGTAAACCCAAAGAGAGGCACAGGAAGTTGTCAGCACAACAGGGCTCTCCCTGGCTGCTACATTGGACGCTGCCTCCTCACTTGACTCCTGAACCCCACTTTCCTGAACCTGGCCTCTGGCTCCGACCCTTGGCTGGACTCTGACTCTGGTTCTGACTCTTGGCTTGACTCCCAACTCCGACTGCTGTTCCAACCACTAGACCTTGCCACTTATGTCTTGGTCCCAACATTTATATTTAGTCATATTAAAGTGCATACTCTTTGTTTGCGCCCAATTTACCAAGTAATCCAGATGGCTCTGAATCAGTGTCTCATAGACTTGAAAGACAGAAGGAACCATCATGATCATCTAGTGACCTGTCCTCTTCATTGTTTACCATTTCCCTAATTTTTGTGTTACCTGTGAACTTTATCAGTGATCATCTTATGTTTTCTTCCTGGTTGTTGATAAAAATGTCAATTAGCGTACGCCAAGGACTCATCCGTGTGGGACCCCACGGGAAACAAACCCACTTGATTACTATTGCCACTTCACAGTTACATTTTGAGATCTATCAGTTAGCCAGTTTTTAATACATTTATTGTGTGCCATGTTAATTTAATATTATTCTAGTTTTTTAATCATAATGTTGTGTGGTACCAAGTCCAATGCCGTATAAAAGTTTAAATATTGCATCCACACTATTACCTTTATCATCCAAACTCGTAATATCCATAAAAAAATCAAATTAATTTGACAGGATCTAATTTCCATAAACTCATGTTGATTTGCACTAATTACATTACCCTCCTTTAATTCTTTATTAAGCAAGTCCCATATCTGCCACTCCATTAGCTTGTGCAGAATCGATGTCAGGCTGACGGACCTATAATTACCTGGGTCAACCTGTTTACCCTTTTTAAAAATTGGCAGAACATTAGATTTCTTCCAGTCTTTTGGAACTTCCCTAGTACTCCAAGACATATTAAAAACCAACACTGATGGGCCAGCAAGCTTCTCAGCCAGCTCTTTTAAAACTCTTGGATGCAAGTTATTTGAATCAACGGATATAAAAATGTCTAACTTCAGTAGCTTCTGTTTAATATCCTCCAGAGATACTAGTGGAATGGAAAGAGAGTTATCATCACATGGTGAGACTATATCATCTGTTTTTTCTTTGCATCAGCAAAGCCAAGGAAATCTTTTTTTCTAGTGCTGATGGGTCGGAGTAGATCTGCACCTGTTGGAGTTTGATATCACAAATGATATGTGCGCAGCGGCTTCAGGAATGCCACAGAGTATTCCCAGCAGTGGCCAGGGGCGGCTCCAGGCATCAGCGCAAGAAGCGCATGCCTGGGGCGGCAAGCCGCAGGGGGCAGCGCGCCGGTCACCGTGAGGGCGGCAGTCAGGCAGCCTTTGGCGGCTTGCCTGCGGGAGGTCCGCCGGTCCCATGGCTTTGGCAGCAATTTGGTGGCGGGTACCGGCAGATCACCCGCAGAAACGCCGCCGAATCTGCGTGACCAACGGCCTCCCGCGGGCATGCTGCCGAAGGCCGCCTGACTGCCGTGCTTCGGGTGACAAAAAACATAGAGCCGCCCCTGGCAGTGACTAAGAGATTTGCACTTAGCAGAAGTCACAAACTTTTCATAAACTCTTATTAAAAAATTCCTCTGAATCAAGGGGACTAAAACTCAGCTCAGGTGCATAACCTGCGGCTGATCCCATTGTTCTGGGAACTGTCTTTGCACATTCCAAATGTCATCCATTATTTTTAAGAAGTCCCATTAGAAGGGTGGGAAAATTAAAGCAATCTTTGAACTAGATCTAGAGAGGCATATTTGTTCTTTTGTTTTATTTCACACTTCTACAAGCGTCTCAGGTGATCTCCCAACACGAGGGCTGGCAATCTTGTATTGTGACAAAACTGAAGCCTGTGGGTGAAATCTAAATATTTTAGTTAGAGATGGGCCTGAACCAAAAACACCCAGTGTATCCTGGGTATCCTGGGCAAGATCCTCAGCTGGTGTAAATCAGAGTAGCTCCATCGACTTTGCTGATTTGCACTAGCGGAGGGTTTGGCCCAGTATCTCTTGAAGATGTGTGTGCATCTAATTGTTGCTGTACGTATAGCATTGAATGCTAAAGGACATGGGGTCCCATTATACAGTTGGTATGAAACATTGTCGAATCCCTAACACTCAGACCCCTAACAGTTCCCAGTCCTGAAATCATAGGCTCTCTTTAACCCTGCAAGCAACGATTGTGCATCAGAAAGTTTATTTCTTTGGACCAGGAGTAAAATCAGGAGATGTTACAGCCAGCAAGGAGCCAATATCTGACTGTGTGAGATGTGATAATAGCCGTGTATTGAGATCCCACTGAGGGAGCAGGAATGCAAAAGATAAGAAGATTCTCCTTCCCCTCATCTCCACCCACCCCAAAGAAGTGCTATCACAGGTTTTGGAAACATTTCGGAGTCCACCTGTAAATGCAATGGATACAGTAGACAAAGAGTCCCTTAGTACTGCATTGGCAAAGCCGTTCCATTTTAACCTGGATTTGAGCCCAGATTAAATCTTCACAGTCTGCTCCTGCTCCCAGATTTCCTTGTTTCTTGCTGTTACAGACCCATCAGGTAGTGAATGCACAGGACAAATCACTCACAGAGCAATTAGCTAAGAGCTCTTTACATGTTCAGGACAGGACACAGTGTCCCACCTGCCAAGGGGTGCTGTAGGGCTCTCACATGCATTTGTGACCCTTGTATCCCACTGTTCTCCATTTATGGGGCTTATGCCGTCACTCTGTTCAGGTGTGGAGTCAGATCCACACAAGGTGTAGCAGGGCCTGGCTCTGTTGACTGCAGTGGAACTTGATCCAGTTACACCAGTGGAGAATTTGGCCTCTGATGCATTAAAGGGTTTTGTGGTTTAGCAAGTGGGGAGACAAATAAACAGGGACGTAGTGTTTGATCACCACAGCTTCCCCTCGCCAGGGGCTTCATCCAGCATTCCCCGGGCACTCAGCACCCTCAGCTCCCATTGACTGCAGTGGGAGTTTAGGGGCTCAGCAACCTGCAGGGTCAAGCCCCATCCTCAGAGCCAAAAGAGAGAGACACAATCCAAATGTGACCCAGACTCATGCAGAACGTAATGCTCGTGTGGGGGGGGGGGAGGTATACTGCTCCTTTAAGAGTGAGCGCTCAGCTGCCCTTGCAATTCTCTCTTCTCTGGGAGGATGCAGTAAGTGCTGGGAGGCTGGAGCTGGCCTGAGCACACCCCTCTTGTGCGGCTGCTGTATAAACTGCCTGACCAGTAGGCGGGGGCTGAGAGTTGCCTGTGGAAGTTCTTGACCTGGCAGTCTGGTGTGCACGTTCCTAGGAGACTGTAAGGAGGGTGACCGGATGGGATGAAGAAAATATCGGTACATATGTGGGGGAGGGGGTCCCGCCGGCGGAACAAAACAAAAACAAGAGTGCGAAATATCGGGAAAAATTGCGTCCCGACCAAACATCAGTCGGGACGCGGGACAAATGGCTAAAAATCGGGACAGTCCTGATTTTATCGGGATGTCTGGTCACCCTACCCACTGAGCCAGGGAGAGCTTTAAAAGTCCTATGTAAAACCTTTAAGATCAGTAAAATAGTGTGCTATTGATATGTATACAAACTACAAGCAGTTTGTTATTTATTTATCAGTAGTAGTACAGTAACACCTAGATGCCCCAAATAAAATTAGAGGCCCACTGTGCTTGGGGCTGTACATACGTGTAGTGAGAGACAGTCCAGGCCCTGAAGAACTTGCAGTAAAGAAGCCAGAGAGAGGATGGGAGGAGGAGAAGCAGAGAGGGGAAGGGACAGGGGGTCAGTGGTAGAACCAGAAATAGAACCCAGGTCTTCTGACTTCTGGTCCAGTGGATTGGGAGCCCCCTCTGTGATCCCCTTGGGAACTCAGGACCATAGATGGGCTCAGCTCAAAACCAGGAATGTGAAACTGTCCCTGCCCCCGCCAGCTCCCCTGAACTTTGGGGAAGCTCAGATCTGGATTCAAACTTGGTGGAGTGGGCCCATCTCTGCTTAGAACTACCAGGGCTAGAGGGTAGGCTCTGGAGCATTGATGGGGTAGTGACTGGCTATTGTGAGGCTCAGACACTGGGTCACTCGTGTTTTTTTTTTCTGGCACAAGGGCAGCAAATCTATCCGTCTGGACAGTAATTTGAAAGCTAGCACAGACTAGCGGCTTGGGCCCTGGACTGGGATTTGGGACAGTTGGGTTCTGTTCTCAATTCAGCGCCTAACCCACTGTATGACCTAGGATGAGTCACCTCAGTTCTCTGTACTTCAGTTTCCCTTCCTCCCAGTTGTTTGTCTTCTCGGTTTATACTGTAAGCTGTTCAGGGTGGGATTGTCTCTTACTATGCGTGTGCTTCGCACAACTGCACCCTGATCTCATGGATGACCCGATGTTAAGCCCATCTGCTCACAAGACAATCCTCTTCACGGATGGATGATTTTGTCATGGCAGAATCTCACTCCTCCAAGGTTCTATCAGAATGAATCCCGTTTGGATCCACGCTGCCCCTGGCTCTCCAGTCCCCGTAAATCATGTATTGACACCCTCCAGATCCTGAAACCCAGCATGGGAAATGATGGGAATGAAATCAACATCCTCTGCTGGGGAGCTATGGGAGCCAGGCCACCATTTTCACAGTATCTGGTTCACAATTTGTGCTATGCAGGCGAGGCAAAGGGAGTGAAAAGCAGACACAGCTTGCCACTGTGGGCTGTCCTGATCTAGACGATCCCCAGTGGACATGGACCCCGCATAGCCAGCTCCTAGGCCTGTCACTGGGCAGCCAGCCCCAGTGTAGTGCTGTATCAGGGCAGGGAGAGGAACTGGCCAAAGCATACTGCATGCTGCATGCTGCCAAGCCCCAGCTGGCAGATGGTCCCTTGGGGATGATTACCAGTTGGTGGAGTTTAGAACAGTCCCCAGGCTGCTCTAAATTCCCTCAGAGCCAGGCCTGGCACAGATCCAACTAGAAAGCCAAGGGATCAGAACGGCCCACCCGCTTTGCTTGATGCATCAGAGAATTAGAACAATCGAGTGTATTAATGGTCTAAGCACAAATGCCCTAATTCTGGGCTGTGTCCTGGCCCCTTTCACCCCACTGACAGCATATAAGAGCTGTAAACCGGCCAGATCTTCCCACCAGGAAACACCTCAAGAGTGTGGAGTAGCATAGGGCATGCCCCTGGGATAGTATATGGTGCAGGGGCATGCCAGGGCTGTGTTGGGCTAGGGAGGAAGGTGCTCTGAATATTCTGGGAGGCCAGTGGATCCTTTCGGGGTTGTTTCATCCAGGGCAGATAGTAGGGCATTCCCTGGGGCTGCTTTCATGTATGCTGGGGGCCAAACTTGCCCACGGCATCCCCAGAACCTGGAGGTGAATGGTGGCTAGAAGACATCATGCTCTCTTCCTGCATGCTATGATAGGATCCACTTGACCGAAGCCCAGAATGCAGGTTCCCATCTCACCGCAGTGCTGCAGGCCTGTTTTCCCTCAGAAGTGGCCTAACGCATTTCCTCAGAGAACTAGGCACGTGCATAGGTTAAATTGACAGCACCCCGCACACCCCAGCAGAGAGAGAGAGACTTGCCCTGGGAGCTCTGCCAGGACAACTGATACATCCAAACCGTGTTGCCCTGGGAAAGGCTGCCAGTCACTTACATAATCCCTTTGGTCTCTCTTAGGACAGTTTGTACTTTGATGTATCGTGTGTGTCTGGGTTATCTTATGTAAGAGAATCTCAGATGAGTCCATCCTGTTTAGACCAGTACTTTGCTGTGTGACCCCACAGAGACCAGCATGGAATATGGCTTATGGGGCTCAGCCCAGGTGTCCCCATTTATGTATCCAACTCCCAACTGCTGGGGCGTTCGATCTCCCCTCTCCCTGTTAATTGCTCCTGCCAGGGAGCAATTGTAGAAGACAAACATCTGTGGTGCATTAAAACTGGGACATTCAGGGCTAGATTCTCGTCTCAGTGACACCAGTGTACATCTGGACCGCAGTGGAGCTGGAGCGATATCCTGGTCCTATCAACATTAAGAAGAGTTTTCCCATTCATTTCAATGGCCCTTACTCTGGATTGACTCTGGTCAGCTCAGCTCAGAATCTGCCTTTCTGTGTCTCCTTGAAACCCCATTTTTTAAGCAGCGCTGGAAGAAGTGATGGTCAAACAGAAGTGGACCCAAGCTCATTGTCCTAAATGAAATCACTTTGGCTCACTCAGGCTGAGAATGTCTTGTGCCCCAAACCCTGGGAGCACTTGACTTGTTTCCCTGGGTCTGTTCTCTCTCCTCCCCACCCTGGCCCGTTGGTTCTCCACTGAAAAGGGCTAACCCCATCCCGGTTGCAGCAGGAAAAGCTTGGCTTGTTTGCATTTTGCAGTCCTGTTTGCCCATGTGGCTCGCCTCCCCGACTCCCCTTCCAGCAGGAGGTCACTATAGATCAATGGTGAGTGCCCGCGCTCGGCACCAGGGCACAGGAGTGAGAGCGATCACTATATTTATCACTCTCAGACGTGAAATGGGATCCCCCTTCTGTAACCCCCCCTTCCTCATTTCTATATGTGGCCGTTTGCAGCCCCCAAAAGACTCACCGGCTTCTGGTGGTAGATCTCACGCTGGCCTTCCGCACCTCCGGAGGTGGCCTTCATTTCCATGGCTTTGTGTAAAATGCAGAGAAATGGAACAATTAGTATCGGCCAAAGCCACGTCTGGGGTTAACGGTACAAACTGCTCTCCGTACAGTACGTGCCACCCCAGTACAGTGAGCGCGCTCCCATCACTTATTCCAACTAACCAACAAAGAGAAGGCGCACAGAAAGCCGGCTCAGCTCTTACATTAAATGCAAACGATGAGAGACCTCCGCTTATTCTCCAGCTGGCACCTGCCGCTTTTTTGACCTCGCAAAGAAGAGTTGGATGTTCGAGAGGGGATCAAAAAATAACTCTCTTTCATCAGAAGGCTGAACTCATGCAGCAGGAGCTTGGACAACACTTAAGGTTCTCTTCCACCGGTCCTAGGGTCATTTGCACTTACAATACAGTCAACCGCACGAGAATCCCCAATAAGATAACCACTTAGGAAGCGAGTCGCCGTCCCCTTGGTCTTTAGAGACTAGGAATCGCTTGATTAACAAATTAGCAGGCTGTGACTTAGAGGCTGAACATGTATGTCAATGTGTGCTTGTCAGTCATGGTGAGCCCTGGCTGAATGCTTGCAAAGCCTCTTCTGTGGCTGGGGGTTCTATATTTATCACTTTGAATCAAGAGGGGCTGCAGCTAGGACTCTGCAGTGTCAGTTTCCCGGACATATATAACTCCAAGAGTCAGTCCTGACCAGCTAGAGAAAATCGGAAGAAACAGCCAAGAATGCCAGGCAGCCCTACTGGGTTTCTAATGATGTCATGTGATCCCACTAGGCTAGCTAGATGAGCATGTTACTTTCAGTGCTGTATATTATCCCTGGTGATACATGAGATGGAAAATGGGGTGGGAGAGTGTGTCAGTGGTAGAGGATTGTGATTTGCACTATTTGGTGTTCTGTGGGTGTGTGAACGGGCACACTTGGGGACGGATTCCGACTCTTGGGTACACACTGATGTAAAAGTGGAGTGACTCCATTGTCAGGTGGGTTTACACTGGTATAAGAGATCAAAATGTGCCCTAAAGGGGCAGCACTGGGAAGATTTTGCCCCAACAGGCTTCCTATGCACCGGGCTGCCCATTTTGCACCACCCATAAAGTTGGTGTCTAATGCTCCCTGCTGTGTGCTGGCCCCGCGCCGCAGGCTGGTGTAGATGAGGAGAGCCATGGCCACGCTTCCTCCTTTCCCAGGGTTTGGGACAGTGATCGGTCCCCAGAGCAAATGGGCCCCAGGACTGCTGTTGTGTGCTGACCCTGAGCAGCTGAGCCAGGCCTGTGCATTCTCGACGATCTCTATCCAGGTCTACTTTTAGCAATATTGGCAGGTTTCTTCCTGTGCCGGTGCATGTCTCTGGGGGAGAAAGCCCCAACTCGTTTCATGTCGGGGGAACTATTTCTTACCCAGGGCTTTAGGTGAAGCCTTTGAGGCAAATCCACTGACCGATCCAGCCTGTCACTGCTCTCTAGAATGTTATCTGTGTCTAGACTTTATGGGCCACGCAGCCCCACTCGAGCCAATGGGATCCCGGGACACTGCGGAAGGGGAAAACATTCTGACTTATTTCTAGCACTTTCTGTGGGCATGAGGAAACCACAAGTATTGCCCAAGGCCTTGGCAATGAGCCTCCAGCGGTGAAGGAACACGGACGCCAGGCTCGACCTGTTAGCGGAGCACATGGGCTCACAGCGCAGTGTTTGGAAGGGGACCTGGCTTTAGAACGCCCGAGTGGTTGGAGCTGTTTGGATCTGGGGTTTTGGTTCGGTCCCTTAGATAAGGAGAGGCCATCTACAGAATTCATATCCAGCGTGGGGGTTTTGGACACACAGGAATTCGGGGGTGTGGGCATGTGGGGGACCAGTTCATCTCCATCTCTTATTAATGAGATACTTTCCCCTCTTCTGGATAAATTCGTTGGCTTTTCATCGCAGCTAGAACCTCCAGCGCTCTCCAGCCCAGCCTGACTCCTCATAGGCAGCGATGGGGCTTCTCTGTGCTTCAGAGTCAGGCTTTGCATGGCTTGGTTTTCAGCCGTTCGACAGGCGCAGCAATCACCTACCAGTCTGCTCTTAACTGCCCATCCCTTGATCTGAGAACAAGGGGCTGGTACATATAAGAATTGCTGAAAGGGGAAATGATGTTGCTCAGCTGATAGCCTCTGAAGCTCGCTGCCCCAGGAAGCCTCTGGGCCATGTTCTGCCCTGGTGTAATCATCGACTTCAAGAGAGTTGCATTTGCTTACATGCAGCTGAATATGGCCTGCTCTGGCAGTGGCTGAATTTTCAACATGTCTGGGGGCCTGGCTCACAATCTCTCAGGCCTGTTGTACCCTGGGGTGGCCCAGGGCCTCAGTTGGTGTCAAGGGCTGTGGCTACACTGACTTCAGTGGTGCCACCTTGATGACACCAGTTGAGGATCTGGCCCTTTGCCATCAGTGGAGTTCATCCAGACTTACACTGGTGAAAGTGGGAGAAGAAGCAAACTTTGTGTCTGAAAAATGTAATTATACCTCTACCCCGATATAACGCGACCCGATATAACACGAATTCGGATATAACGCGGTAAAGCAGTGCTCGGGGGGGGGAGGGGGGCTGCGCGCTCCGGTGGATCAAAGCAAGTTCGATATAACGCGGTTTCACCTATAGCGCGGTAAGATTTTTTGTCTCCCGAGGACAGCGTTCTATCGGGGTAGAGGTGTATCGTTCTGGCCTGTGGCTGTGCAAGCTCAGATAAGGGTCACTACTTAGAGTGGAAGTTTTCTGGGGCTGGGACTGTCTGTTCTGTGTTTGTACAATGGGGCCCTGGTCCATGATTGGGGTTTCCAGCTGCTATCATAGTATAAATAATAATAATTTGATCTCATTCTTGGGGCACCAACCGATCCCCTGCAGGCCATTATACTGGCCTGCATAAATGTCTGGGTGGTATGTAGGAGAGGAGGGATGCTCTGAGGTCTCAGGTTCTGACCCGTATCAGAGGCCGGGAAGCAGAGTATTGTTTCAAAGCTCTGATAAGCCGATGTGACAAATCCTTTTGTTCTGATCTGCTTTTGTAATTGTCTCTAGGGAGGTGTTTTGCCAATGACAGGTGCGCATGCATCTGGTTACTTTCCTTTATCGTTGTGCATTGAATAATCCCACTCCGCTGCAGGATGGACAGAAGGAGAAAGAGGAAGAGAATATTTTGTCTGATCTCCGCACAGAGACAAACACAGCCCCTCCCTGGTGACGCTGGGTGATTTTCCCATGACAGTTGCTCCTGTTCATTTTCCATTTCCTGGTTGCTGTTTCAATAAAACCCAGCCGATACTCGCAGCTGAAGCATTACATATTTTCAACGCAGCTGAGAGAAGAGAGCCCAGCTCAGGGTTAAATAAACATCTCCTGGGTGCAGTCAGACAGTGAGGAGGGACGCAGAGTGGCTGTTCTGAGAAAGGAAGGCAGGGTCTTTCTGGACCAAAACACTATGGCCGTGGCAGGTCCAGGCCCTCCACTTGAACGAGTGCCTCTGGCTTCCCTTACTTTCTGGGCATCCTTCTCGGGCAAGAAATAAAGTTATAGATAACCACCGGCAATGGCTGAGCAGCTCAAGCTCCCGGGGGCCGGTTTCCAGCGGCAGTGAGCGCCCAGTGAAGTCAATAGCAGCTGGGGGTGCTCAACACCTCTGGAAACGGGTCCCAAAAGCCGAGCCCTGCAGTGCAAGGCTTTCCAGTTCAGTGGGCATTCTCAGTGAACCTTGGGAAGGGTCCTGCAAAATCCTCAGTGCTTCTGAAGTGCTGAGTTCCCCTCTGCTGTGCACAACCCAAGCAGGGCTTCTGCTAGCCGCCAGGAGCCGAGAGTCTGAACAACTGTGGCCCTCAGGGAGGGATTTGCCCGAGTGAATATTGCTGAATCAGGCCCCAGGTGGTGGCTGTAGCCCTATGTGTCCTTCTACTTCCCAGGACATCCAGCCTGCCTGCTAAAGCACCCTCCCCAATCCTCCATCTCTGGCCCCAGCTACCCTACAGAGAGTGAATTTCCCAACTGTCTCCTCCATTCTGTGCTTGGAAAGTTGCCCTTTGGCTCCCTCTCCTGGCTTCCCAGTCTAAATGTGTGTGTGTGGGAGGGGGCGGGTAATGGAGCTGGGGGGGGCAGTGTCGGAGAAGTCAGCGGGAGAAAGGGCCAGGATGAGGGGCAGGATGGGGCCTCCCTCCCATGTGTTACTTTGCCCTGCGACCCACAAACCCTGGGGCCAGCCCTGCTCTTACATTGGCTGTTTGGAAGAAGCACAAAAACTCACCATGTTCGAGGCACAAAGGGCCCTTATTTTACCCATTGCTGACCCTGCACTCCCTGTTGTCCCTGTGTGTCATTCTGTTACATCCAGCCTGGCCTTTCGCTAGTATCCGTGTAGGTGGGGCCGAGCCATTCTCCCCGCGGTCCGGTTCATCTGAGGGGAACAGTTCCCCTCACCAGAAGGTTGGCATGTGTTAATGTTCATTGGAAGACTCTGACCTTTGCATTTTGTAACTTTTCGAGCACCAGCTTTCTCTCTTCACTCAGGAGAAGCTGCGCATTAGGAACAGATCCAATTCATGTGTTTTCCGAAACAGCAATGGGATTTATTTCTTTTCACTGGCTGAAATACACGTTGTCTCCAAAATAAGTACATGCTTTGCACTTTCATCTGAGATGTCAAAGTGTTTTACAAGCAATTATTAAACCTCTTGGGGAGGCGTCGTTATCCCTGTTTTACAGATGCCATCTGAGATACAGAGAGGTTAAAGGACTTGATGGCACAATGAGTCAGTGGTAAAATTCAGAATGAGGTACTTAAATTGAATTTAATTAGCTTATCCAGGAGAGGGGAAAGAGGTGACTTGTTCACAGTTCCTACCTGGAGAGAAGATTTTTGCTAGTACGGGGTTTTTTATAATCTAGCAGAGATAAAACAAGATCCATTAGAAAAAAGCTTTTTAATAGTGAGTGTAATAAGCCATTGGCACAACTCAAATAGGGATGTGGTGCATGGTCCGTTACTTGCAGTTTTTAAACCAAGGCTGGATCTCTTTCGAGCAATTAGGGGATAAAAGTTTCAAAAGTGACTAAGTGACTTAGGAGCCTAAATAATATTTTCAAGTCACTTAGGAACCTATGTCTCATTGAAAGTCAAGGGGACGTTGGTCAGGTCTACACTAGGAGTGCTTACCCAGTGTAGGTAGACCAAATACTGTACTGCCAAAGCGCTCCTCGTGTGGGTGCAGTTTATCTTCCCTGGCGCCCTGCGCCAAAGCACAGTTTTGCCGATAGAACTGCATCGACACTAGGGGTCTCTGCCAGAGCAGCTGTGTTAGGCAGGCATCACACCTCCTCAGACCCCAACCAACAGTGCTCTGCTGGCAGAAGTCTGTAGTGTAGACCTGGCCTTAGGCTCCTAAGGGCTTAAGTAGCTTTTGAAAATGGGTCTTGGCCAGGTTTACACTACAAAGTTTTGCTGCTGTAGCTATGTCGGTTAGGACTGTGGAAAAATCACCCCCAGCGGACACAGCTATGCCGGCAACACCTCCCCGGTAGACGTGGCTTGTA